TCACGGAATCCATGGCGGTCTTGCAAAAAAACTAGAGCCCGCGATCCTACAGAGAAAGCTGAACCAATAAATGCAAAATGCATAGCCCAGCCTTGCAACCCGGAACGTAGTCCGCTTTCCAGGACGCGCCGGGCGTTCCCTCATAGTACACTATGTTTTCCCAGTGTGTGGAGCTTTGGCACCTGCCCTCTGCAAAGTCAGACAACTTGAAGGTGCTCTTTAGCAAGAAGAGAAAGGATTCCAACAATGAGGCAAACACTTTCAAATGCACAGCTTCTGAAGGATTGTCAATGTACCCAATTTTGGCTTACTTTGTGCAGCATGTCCTGATGGTCAGCGGGCTATGCAAACCTGAATGCAAGGCCTTCCTGCTACTTGCAGATGTCATGGACATGCTGGCCTCTGTCCACATGAATATCATCACCCCTGATATGTTGCGGTCTATTGATTCCTTTTTGCAAGCGTGTATTGCATGTGGCTGGGGCAAACATCTTCATCAGAAATTTCACTGGGTTTTACATCTCCCTTCTCATTTGCAGAAATTCAAGCTTCTACCAGCATGTTGGGTACAAGAACGAAAGCACAAATGTGTGAAGCGGTATTCTACTGCAATTTCCAACACAACAATTTTTGAAAGATCTGTACTGGTTGAAGTGATCTGTCATGACCTTGCTGCCATTCAAGACCCATTGGTGTTCAAAGAAGGTCCGCGTTTATTGAAGAACTCCAAGGTGACAAAGAAAATGAAGGCGCTGCTTGAGTCTATGGGGCAAAATGTCACTGAAGATTGCTACAGCTGCGCCACTGCTGTGTTACACCCTGCTGGACTCTGTCACAAAGGCGATGTCGTCTTGATGAGAGGCCCATCTCAGGCAAATGCTGGCCAAGTCTGGATCCATGCGTTTTTCAACGGGGTGTGCATGACTTTGATGAGCAAATGGAAACTGATCTCTTACAACGCTTCAAATGGGTTCGCCGTGTTCAAGCAAGAAGATCATGCTGAGTTTGTGGCAACTTTGGACATATATGCATCTACCACTTGGAGTGTTCACGAGCCAACTGTATGCAAGGTCCTTGTGCCCTTGGCGTTCAGAAACTGAATTGTCATCTGGACACCTGTCTCACACAATGCAGCCGTGGTGGAAAACAAGACAAGCGCTTCATGCAAACTTGCTTGCGCACATTGACCATGACTTTCATGTTGAGCATGTGGTTGACCAAACACAATCCAGCCATCCTTGCAACTTGTGATGCTGTGTTTGCAACCAAGCTCTTGCACACAAGGTTTTTTTCTTGTCAAAGCTAGAAAAAAAGCTACATGTAGGAGTTAGCTAAGTACTTAGCTAAACCGGCTAACCTAGTAGCTAAGTCCTTAAGTTAAGTGATTAGCCTAACCCCTGTAACAGCTTAGCAACCTTTTGGCAACTCGCCTAAGTACTCCTAAGTTCTAGCAATTTCACAGCTCATCCAAGTGAGGACTTTTTACGATTTCTGCGGTCCGCGCGCGACCCTCTGCGGAGATTCGCGTGGTCGAGGTTCAAAAACTGAGGACTTTTTACTATTTCTGCTGGCCGCGCGCGACCCTCTGCGGAGATTCGCGTGGTCGAGGTTCAAAAACTGAGGACTTTTTACGATTTCTGCGGTCCGCGCACGACCCTCTGCGGAGATTCGCGTGGTCGGTTCAAAAACTGAGGACTTTTTACGATTTCTGCAAGCCGCGCGCGACCCTCTGCGGGGATCGTGCGCGTCGAAGCGCTCTCGCTGTGGCGCCGTGCGAATTTGTCTTAGTCTCGGCGAACCCTCTGCGGAGATTGCGCGTGTCGAAGTGCTCTCGCTGTGGCGCCGTGCAATATTCTTGCTCGCGAAACGGCCTTTGGAAGTTGTCTCGTGGTTTGCGCGCCTGCTTTCGCAATCCCGCGGTCGCGGGTTCGATTCCCCCCTGGTCCGCGGCAGCTCCGGCTTGAAAATCGCAGCTTTTAAGTACAAACGTAGTACGCGGAGCGTGCTCCTGCAGCTCCGGCTGGAAAATCGTAACTTTTAAGTACAGACGTAGTGTGCGGAGCGTGCTCCCGCAGCTCAGGCTGGAAAATCGCAACTTTTAAGTACAAACGTAGTACGCGGAGCACACCCGCAGCTCCGGCTTGAAAATCGCAACTTTTAAGTACAAACGTAGTACGCGGAGCGTGCTCCTGCAGCTCCGGGTGGAAAATCGCAATTTTTAAGTACAGACGTAGTATGCGGAGCGTGCTCCCGCAGCTCAGGCTGGAAAATCGCAACTTTCAAGTACAAACGTAGTACGCGGAGCACACCCCCGCAGCTCCGGCTGGAAAATCGCAACTTTTAAGTACAAACGTAGTACGCGGAGCACACCCCCGCAGCTCCGGCAGCACTTGCGCAGAGCAACTTGCGCAGAGTCACTTGCGCAGAGCAAGCAACTTGCACAGAGCAATTGCACAAAGCACTTGCGCAGAGCAACTTGCACAGACCAACTTGCACAGAGCACATGCGCAAAGCGCTTGCACGGAGCAACTGGCGCAGAGCCCTTGCGCAGAGCAACTTGCTCAGAGCACTTGCGCAGAGCAACTTGCACAGCACAGCAGAGCAACTTGCACAGAGCAGCGCTTTTGCAGAGCGCGCAGCAGCTTGCAGAGAGCAACTTGCGCGCAGCAGCCTGGAACAATGCAGCTTGCGCAGACCACTTTCGTGAGAAATCGCGCGGCGCAGTTCGAGAGGAAAGTAGGATGATGAGATGGAGCTCTCATGTGACCATACACACTGAGCATCGCCGCGCGCAGACACGCTCGCCGCAGCGATGTAAAAAGGTGTCTCCGCGGCTGGATGAGCACCTGTGGAAAAATGCTTTCGGGCCAATCGTCCTCTAGTTTTTTCTTAGCCCCGCAAAGCTCGGCTTGCTGAAATGCAACTTGGAGGCAAATTGCAAGAATATCTAGGGGTCGTTGCAGCCACACGCCTGCACGCAGCATTTTAGATTTCGAAGGTCGTTTCCTGGACGGACGAGTGTCAGAACCCTCCCAGGTGCAATAGAATCCGTTTGGGGAATAGCCTCTAAAGAGAGAGGCGTGGGCCCGCAGCAGCATCTGACAAGCCCAGAAAGTGGATGCTAAGGGCCACCCTGCGTTTCGCAATGCTCGTCCAGCTGGACTTGTCCAGGCATGGGCGGCGCGTTTCGCACAGCCCAAAATGGTACCATTGGTTTTGACCCACAGCCATTTCCCCAGAACCAAGACAGTTCCCAGTTGTGAGGTACATGGAAAGCCGAAAAACCACCCCAATCAGGCGCAGCCGCTGAGGGTGCCAGCGCAGTGGCGGTCATGCAAGCGCTGGAGGCCAGCTCAGCGTCGACGTTGGCTCGCGCTGCGGGTGGCGCTGGCGGTCGGAGCTGGGGTGATGATTGGCTGGGACGCGATCAAAATGGCGCGCGGCCAACCTGGGAGCCGGAGGAGGGGTCCTCAGTCCTTGTGTAGTAAACTAGCTGGCGGTTGGAAGGGAGTTAAGCTGAGGGTATCCAAATGTCCCTAAGTAGTTACCAGGAGTTCGGTAAGGACATGATAGGAATGATAGTACATAGGTTAGTTTTTCCTTGAAGGGTGATGCTTTTAGGTGGAGCCTTGCAGGAGGCGGTTTGGCTGGCGCCGCAGGCGGTGCTTTGGGTTCTGCGATTTGCCCGGGCGTTGGCACCGTGATTGGCGGCTTGCTGGGGGGTCTGGCCGCAGGCTTCGGTGGAGCCAAGGGTGGCGAACTGCTGGACAAGGCCATTGGGCGATCCGATTGAAACCACTGGTTGGGGTTTAACGTCACTTGTTTAGCAGCAAACTTTTGGGTGTAGACCATCGACACGGCTCTTGTTGACGCAACCAGTTGTTGGTTTTCCTTCAAAAGATGCTTCACCGCTGTTGATTGTTGAAGCGGAGGCCATCTGGGATGAGGCGGAGGATGTCAAGGAGCAGGCCTTCGAATTTATGCACTACGGCTATACCCGCTGGGCCAAGCAAACCGCGAGGTCTCCCGAGGAGCTTCAACAGCGTTACAAGCAGCTTACCTCCGGCCGTTTTTTTTTTTTTTTTTCTTCTTCTTCTTGTGCTTAATTATAGTAATGAAACAGGCAAATTTATGAATAAGAGATAAACTTTTGGTTTTTGAGTTTTGAGCTCTGTTTGGGCCAAGTGGCTGTGGCTTGGCAGCACCTCGGTTTGGGGTTTGGGCAAACCGCGCCTCATCCAAGACCGGTTTCAGGAAACACGCCGTGGCTGTGGATCTTCAATGGAGGTATGATTTGGATTTTGACCCATGGCCCGGCCATGTTTTTGTTGAGGCAGCGCCTGGAGGAAAACGCGAAGGACGAGGAATGGTTCCTGCAGTGCCAGCAGAACCTCCGTGTGGTGATGTCTGAGCTGTGGCCCAAAATCCACGAGCTCGAAATGCTGGTGGAAGAAGAGTTGAGGAAGATTGCGGACAAGTAGATTTCTTCCGATTTTTTGCCCCTCTTTGAGTAGACATTTTACATGATCTGCTCAGTCTTGCCTGTGGTTCAAGAAGCTCAAGAGTAAATGTGCAAAGCTGGTCAAGTATTGCCCTAGTTTGAACCATGTGCCGCGTGGCTCCCCTTGTACAGCCTTCGAGGGTGGAGCAAATCTGAGGTTTCACACTTGGGCTCCGCCTGCCGCCCTGAGGCGAGCCCGAACAGGCAAGCCAGCAGGATGCTTGAAAGCCGGGCGGAGCAGCTCAGACGGGTCAACCCGAAGCCAAACCTAAACCAAGACAACCAAGACCTAAACCCTAAACCTAAACAAAAAAAAAAACACACCTAAACCGTTTGAGACGCGATGCCCGCTGCTTGACTTCGGCTATGGAGGCAGTGGGCTACTTTCATTCTGGAGAAAAGGAAGCTGCAGCTGCAGGTGTGCCTAGTCCTGGGCGGGGTCGTGATCTCTTGTCCTCCATGGACTCAGCGGCTTTGGTGATTCTTTTGGCTCAGGCCAGTGCAGACGGGCTATGGGTGAAAGGATACAGCGCCACGAACATCCCACGCACAGAGGTTTCGCTGCCCGTTTCGTTCCGGAAAGCATGCCGTCCGAGAGCGAGAGCGAGCGTGAGGAGAAGGAGGACACGGAAAACATCGAAGCGGTTTGAGTGCGCTTTGGGCGCCCGTTTCAGGTTGGTTGAAAGGGACGCCACAACTCTCGGTCCCGGCACCCCCAATTTTGAGACCTATTTAGGTGTGTGTTTGTTTTGGGCTTCAATTGCATTTGAAGGTATGCATAAAACCCTTGGAGCAGGAGCTGCTTTCATATCATCGTGTGGAGGGTAAATTGGAGGATGTCACTTTGAACTCAGTGATTAGAACCATTTCGCGGACAGGTGTTTGGGCAGCACACCCCTCAGAATTCCCTACATTTACATGTTCAGCTGTTTGTAACAGCAGCTTTCGCTGCGCTTCCTGTTGGTGTTGGCGATGTTTTGATGGACGGTTGCCAGACCTTTGTTCTTGGTGGCTCAAGTTACGCGAGCCCATGTCCCGTATAGACTGGATTGACCAAAACTTCAAGTCTAAATCGCCTTTCAGGCGATAGTTAAGTGCCTGATGCCAAGTGGAAAAACAAAATGAACACAGCACTCGGACAGGAGCTCCCTTCCTATTCGTGACCGTTGTATTTCCTGAAAGTGTCCCATTTTTTCTAACAGGGGTTCAGGACACTGGCTGACGCCGAGGAAACCTACCAAGCGTCAAGCTGGATGCCGCCCCTCTCTGAGTAAGAAAGCACATCTCAGAGGGGGGGCCACCTCCATGGCAAAGGTCCGAACCAGACCTCGGGGTGATGTCTGGCTCAAAGAAACCAGCAGCTTGGAGCGGGAGGTGCCGAAAAAGCCCGAGGAAAACTGGCAATGCTTGGGTGTCCTCTTGGCCTCTTTTGAAAAAAGAAACGAAATGATCAAACAGCAAAACATGCCAAATCCAAAGAAGCAGCCAAGCGACACACCTGGGTGTATATCCTTTGCGGGCGGTGCATATACTCTATGCAGCGGCAAGGACCGCCGAGACCGGCGCGAGAAGCGTGAGGAGAAGAGGGACCGGGACAGGGCCTCAGACAAGGGCCGGCTGGGTTGCTTCGGTGAAAATGGGTGTTTTTTTGGTTTTCTTGAGGTTCGGAAAAGGAAAGCCGCCATCTTGAAAGTCCACAACTTTGACGCAAACTCCGGATGTTTTGCTTGGTCCGTGGTCATCTTTGGAGGGACTTGACAAATGAGCAAAACATTGAACCACGAAGGGGAGTCTCGGCACTGCTTTTTGGCGGTGTTTAATGGAAATCAAAGAGCAACCAACGTACTAGTTCCATATAATATGGGGGTCTCTCGAAATTTCCTAATTTGTACATGGTCAGCTTCGTTGGCACATGGGAATGACGCCAGCCGCGTATCGCTCCAAGGCCTTTGAGGTAGCGGCACATTTTGACAGTGGCTCATTCGGCCGTGAATTGAAACGTTCGCAAGCACGGCGGACGTCTTTTGGCGGACGAGTCGCACGCCCAATGCTTCTATGGTGCAATGGTTCGACACTTTCAATTGTGGTTGAACATGTAGCTTATGCAGCCCTGTTCGTGGGTGAGCAGTGTCAGTTTCGAATCGGTCTGAGTGATTTGTTTTGGTTTGGCGGGAATCAATCCGCTTTGGTTTTGTTGTGTGCTAAGTGCCTCCAGATAAATCCGAATTTGATACAGCTCCAAATATGTCCGATCCCAAATCCCAAGAGGGGATGGCTTTTTCTTGCTTTCATCTTAATTTGCGGCATTGAAGTCTGCGCTGCAGACTTCAATCATTGTGCACCTGGTCACAAATCACATCTCAACGTCCATCATTTTGGTTTCAACCTGGCACCAGCGCCTGGACACCAAGTGCATCATGTGGCTGTGGGTCAAAAACAGGTAACTCAAATGGAGCCCTGGTAAATGGAAACATGGACTCAAACCTGCGGTCCCCCGGTGGTTTAATTTTGACCCATGCCCTTCTTCCTGCGGCTGTGCGCTCGCGCCAGGATGACCGCGAACGTGGAGGATGGGCTGTGTGAAGCTGTCGGGGATTTTTTTTTTTTTTGGGGGGCGCGTGTCACGTCTTTTGGGCGCCATCCGGAGCTCTGAAAGGAACTCAGGTCTTTTTCCTTTGGATGGAATGTACGTTCTGGGGGAGCATGGTCGACTGGCGTCTGTTTTTTGGCATGTAACTCTGCAACAGGACTGTTTGTCCAATGCAGAATGTGCCATGCACTCCTACCTCCCATCCGCGCACCGGGGCGGTCCCATGTGTCTTCGCCCGGATGGTGGATTCCCTTTTCTTCTTTTTGGCCAGCAAAAACATCAAAACATCATGTTTTTATGGGCATTTGGCCACTTGCCTGTCCTTCATGGGCTGTTCGAAGGGGACCAAAGGTATGCGCGTCCCGCTGAAAACCGAGGCGCGGCGGCGGGGGCCATGCGGAGCCTCACGGGCGCCTTGGCGGCCTCGGCGGCCTCCACGGCCGGGCGCCCGGGGCCCTACGACCGCGGCGCCCGCGCGGAGCGGGGCGCGGAGCGGGGCGCGGAGCGCGCGGAGCCGGGGGCGGAGGCCGGCAAAGGCGCGGGGGCTGCGGGGGGGTTGGGGGTTGGGGGTTGGGTGGGGGGCTGGGGTTGGGGGTTGGCGGGGCGTCGTGGGGGAGATTGGAAGGAGGTTGCGGGAGATGACTTGAGTGAGGGGCTGAAGTGTTCCCGCATGTTTCTGCTTGCCTGGGACTGTTTCTGGCGTGCTTGTTTTGGGTGTTCGCAGTCTTGATGGAATGTGGTTTATGTTTGGTGGTTAGCACTCTGTAGCTTGCTGGACACGAGCAGTGCAGATTCGAGATGAAACTAGAACAAACAAACAACAACACACACACACACATACAAACATACCAACATACAAACTACACAAGCACAAATCTCTACCAATATCAGTCACACACACACACACAAACAATAGCCAGCAGGTGGCCTTCAGTTGCTGCAGCTTAAGTGGGCAAAGCTGTGGAGGATGTGAGTTCGCTGGGCGCATGTTACCCTTAGTGAGCCAATTGGTTCGCTTGGTGAATGACCAAAATACGGACCAGAGATTCCAGCAGCAAACTTTGCTTTTGGTTTGGTTTGATCACCAAGGAACATGTGTGGGTCAGTTTGAAGAACACAACCCATGCGAGACAAGACGAGACGCATGAAGAAAGACGCTCGAACCCCCTGGCATACGGGGCCGGCTGCACTTTGGGCACCCTTCCGCTGGGTTCCCTACTTGGTTCCTCTGTAGCTCTGTAAGCCAAAGAGAACAGGGTACCCGTTTGGCAGACGCGAACAGAATGTTATATTTGAAGCAATTTCCGGCCTCGTGTTTTTGATGCCCGGGTTACTTGGTCCGGGCAATTGCTACAAAAGGAACCTGCGCCCAAGACCAAAGGGGCCTCCTTTGGCCCAGCTCGGCCAGGCCGCGGCAAGGCGGCCATCCTGCCGCCCCCAAAGAAGACCTTGGACCGCTCGCGCACGTGCCCGTTCTTGCAGCGCCCTGAGAGTTTCTGACCGACCGGAGGTGCCTAAAGCCCCTTTCGACCGGCCGGGTCACGTTGAATCGGGGCACCATAGGAAAAGGTGAAGGCGGTCCCGAGGCTTCCCGGCAATGCTGGATGTTCCGCCGATTTGGTTGACTAGTGGTTGGAAGGGAGCCGGCACAGAGCAGGGGGTATCCAATATTTGCTTAAAGAGGGAGCCTCTTGGAGCTATCTACCGAGATGGAGTTCTGCAAGGATATGGCAGCAAGACTAACATGAAACCCAAAAGGGTCCACCAAAAGGACCTTCCTTTAGAAATGGCTCTTTGGTTCCATGTGCTTGCCAGGCTCCGGATCTTCCGGAAGATAGGCTGGGAATGGGACGCGAAACTGCTGGAGCCTTTCCCAAGCGTTTTGGCGTTTTCGGGGTTAGGATGAAGCAGGTGGCGGCAGCAGCAGGTGACAGACAGGCAGGGCTCCATAGACCTCCATTCTTGGTGGTAAGCATCACGTTTGGGTTGCCAAAGTGAGTCTGTTTCAAGCGCGGGGTGATGTTTCCATTGGGTTAGCACGGGAATCCCCGCGGGCGGAAGCACTTTGATTGACGCCCGAAAGGGAGAATTGAGGCCGTGAACTTTTTCGCGGATATCCCAGGGTCTTGGGTAGAGCATTGGTTGCCCGGGGTTGACTACGGTTGCCCGGCAGACGTTGACCAAGTTCTGTTCCACAAACAATTCGCACATGGACTGAGCCGCTGTGCCAGGGGCGCACCATGGCATCGAGGCCGGACCGGGCAAGCTTGGTTTAAACACCTGGACCCTGGTGCCCTTTAAAGGAGGACCAATCGGAGGTTGTTTCAACAGTGGTGGTTGAAGCATGTTTTGATTGCGGCCCCGCAAATTTATGCGGAGCCCAAGAAACCCATCGTTGTAGCGGATCCTCCGTTTTGAGGAGCCCCCTTCCAGGGTTCAATGTTGCTTTGTAGGGGAGAAAGTGGGTAATTAGGCAAATTCCTACTTTCGCGACGTATGTGGATGACCATCCCACTTGACAAGGGGTGAAACAATCTCAATTTTGTAATCAGGCGAAGAAGGATTCAGCCTATAATGATCATGAATCCGCGGAATTCGCGCTGATGAATTTTTGGGAGGGACATGAGGATCGTGCACAGGCTGCTAATACGGTGACACCTTCATTTTTCCATGTCGAGGCCTTCCAGTTAGCATTTCGGCTGGCCGATATGTATCAGCCCCTGCTGGATTGGCCGGATCCTTCACTGTTGAGGGAAACACCGTTGAATTCCGGGTTCAACATTGAAGCGCGGGTCCCACCGGCCTTGCATCGGAGCATGTTCGACCCCTATCCGGGGGTCAAACGAGTGCAAAATCCCATGAGGGTCCTTTACTTGGAGATTCCTTCTTTCTGCTTTGGAAAGTTTGAGTAGACATGCCACGCAGCTTCGTCGATCCAGAAGGGAAACCGTGCCAACATCGTCATGAATTGAATATTTAATTTTCTTTGACACAAGTTCTCTCGGCTTCCCTTACCACCCCGAAATCGAAAAGACACGAACGGAGCCCTCGAGGCTTTTGCTGAGCGCGGAAAGGAGCCGGTGGACTGTGAGTTGCAGGCGGGCGAACGGGGTCGAATGCTGACGGTTGCCACTCAGATTTCATTCTTTTCTCCAGAAAAGACCAGGTTGCATTTTACAGTGTTTTCCGAGCCATTGCCCCTTTTTGGCAGTGGCGATCGTTTCAATGGAAGCTACCAGTTAAGCTGATCAACTTTTGAAGGAAATCCAGTGACCCTTGTTCCAAGGCGGGGCTAGTCACCGATTTTTTGCTCCACCGATTTCTGTTGCCGCAACGAATTCTTTTGGGAGCACGACCGGCCGATTCCCTACTCCTGCATTTGTCGTGGAGCTTAGTCTTACAGTCAGGCTACGGTATACATTTGCGATATAAAGGGTTCGACTCTGGAACGTAACCTGTAATCATAGGGTTCCGAAGGTACTTGCAGCCTCCACCCGTTTTCTGACAGCCAGAGAACCAAAGCCCTATTGCAATTGCAATCGGTCATTTTCCATGACCCCAGAATCAATCACCAACAAAGTCCTCTATCAACTCTTGTGGTGACTGATTGCTGACCCCACCCCAGCCATAACTTTGTTTGGGTATTCCACGAGAGGGCGGGTGCTCCCTTGGCCTCCCTCCAGCGATTTCGCCCCTTTCGCGCAATGCGAGGTGTATGCGTGGCCGGATGTCACGCTCAGGGAGCTCCTCGCTCGGAATTCTGCAAAACGCTGCACCAGCGGGTTAATGTTCGGAAACGGAGGCCTCCCCAAAATGGGGGTGTATTTTTTTCAAAGTTCCCCCGTATTTGAAAGACACCAAAATCGGGGTTGTGGGAAATGAGCCGTTGCCGTAATCATTACTCTTCCGTCCACGTGAACCTGACTGGGAGTGATGGAAGACCAGTTTTCTATCAGAGGGGTGCTCTGGTGGGTTTGCATGCAACCTGAAAGCCAATTTTCCACCATGTCCGAAGTAGTGGTTTCCCTAAGCTGCACACCTCAACTGTCCTGAAAGATGCACCGAAAAGATGCAAGGGGGAGGGGATGCAGGGATATTTATGGAGCCTCCGCTCCTTAGGCCCTGGAAAGATGATCTGCCAAGAGTCTGGAAGGTTGGGCTGAAGCCGAGGGGAAGAAGTGCCGAGCGTTTCATGCCCTTCATGCCGCTTCTTGATGTGGTCCCTCCTCCACCTTCTTTCCCGTATTTGAGAGGTGCTTGTGGGATCGTTTCATCCTGTCGTGTTGCATCCGTTTATCTCGCGTGCCAGCTGAGTCCGCCCCACTCCGCCTCCGCCTGAGGCTGGCGGATTTGATCAAGGACGTGGCGCCGGAGGCCTGTGATCCCAAGGTGAGGCTGGCCTTCAACCTCATCTATCCAGCCGGGGCGCTCGGATTGTTTCGGTTGGGTCACATCGATCCGTTTTCCTTTTTTTTTTGGTTGGCTTGGTGCCGACTGTGGGTTGTTTTGAAAGGGACGCCAGAGGAGAGCCATGCAGTTTGGAGGTGTCCCGACAAGATGTTGGTTGTGGAATGGAGTTTTGGGTCGCATCCTCTTGGAAATGATGAACCGATGAGGATGGGACTCCTACTTTGGCATCAAGGAAAGAAACCATTTTCAGAACATGCTAGCCCCCACCCAGGCTTCAAAGACCTGAATACCCGTGGAAGAAGCATATATTTTGAACTGCCTTGCCTTTTTTGCGGTTGGTTAATTGGTCACCTGATGAGTTGGTTGAATTGTCGACCATTTGTGAGTCTTTGCAGAGTTTTGCCGGTTGGTTCATGCCGGTTGGTTCATGCCGCTACATTTTGTTGCCAGGATGAGTATACACAATACATACGCGTGTGCGAAAGCTATGATCCTTTGGGGGAGGACGGACATGGGTCCCTGAACAGATGAGCGATCATCAACTGCAATTGTCAGAAGCCAGCGACAAAATAGGGAAACATCTCGTTTTAGGTTGGCTTTGTGCCAGTTTTCTACAGGTTGTCATACAACTTGTCTCTTTCCGCAATTCCAATCGGTCCCTTAGATTTTGACATTTCGACTGATGCGCGATTGACCGGCCCGCGTGGGTAGTCTGTTCTAGATACGAGTCCTGCGTCGGCGGACTTCCCACCAGCGCTTTTCCTCTTTGTCAATCTGTATCCCTGAAACTCTTGCGAGAGCACGTCCTCGTGATTTTCTCCGACGTCGCCTCTTACAGCAAAAGCAGAACACGGAGCCGGGAGCTGGGGTTCTCCAAATAGGAATCCCTTTTCATGGCAACTCTTTCCTTTTGCCTTCCCTTTAAACACCAACCAGAAGGAGGCCTTTCCACCATTTTGAGCAGCGCTCTCCTTCTTCTTCTTCTTGTTTCCTGAGGACAAGACGGGAAAGAACGTGAGCACTTCCTTGGGTACGGTGACCTGCTCGAAGCGAGGGCAAGACGACGACAAGGCGCAAGACGACGAGTCCCGGCTCTTGGGTATGGCTCCTTGTTTTTTTTCTTCTCCGGGTGACTCCTTTTGGGTGGTTGCTGGGAATAGGAAATCCGAAGTGACAGATGGTCAGTGATGGGCTTGCGGAACCCTTGCGTGCTACAGCGGATGATGCAGGAAAATGCTTCCAGCAGAGCCGACAACTGTGAGTCCCCATGATGGAGGGCCAAACCCTCACCAGGCAATGATGCCCCTTTGGGAGCATACTTCATGTGTGGATTGGATGTGGCTTTTGTGAGCGTTCTCATTTGAGTTGCTGAAATTCTGGTCCAATAAGTCAAGCGCTATGTCGAGTGTTTGAGCCACTCAAAGTGAGCAAACTTGGGGGCTTCCTCAAAGCTCCTAGGTTAAACCACGCGAGGATAACTCTGACGGCACTATAACACCCGGGCTTCGCCAGCTCGTGACGGGACCGAAGGTTCGAATCGGCCCTGCGTGCGTTTGAAGCGGCAGGCCTTGTCGTCATCGAAGTTCCAAACAGGCGGGGGGGGGGGTGAAGATTGTCCCAGGTGGATGGCTGGTCAAAAAGAAAAGCCGGATGTGAGAAACGAGTTTTGTGGAAGTATCCTCAAGCGGCCCCTTCGACACCCGGAAAAGGGACCATATTGTATATTTGTGGCCGAGAGCTCAGGGTGGGTACTTTTCCTCCTTGGGGATTGTTCTATTGCTCCTTTCCGCGCACTGCTATTTTTGCTTGCCCGCCCCTGAGTGGCCTCCCTGAGTGGAGACGTCTTAGGCAAGAAGGGATCGGCGGGAACATGGGGCATTCTACTTGGATCCCTTGTATGGGTGTTTCTGCAAATCAGAGACTGACCCGCGCAGATGGTTGGCAACACAAATCCACCAGAAGAGGGTTCCCTATTTTCAGACATATTTGTCCAACGTTAAAACATCACTCCACCAAAAAGGAATTCCGAGAACTGACAGCTAAAAGTGCTTCTTCTTTTTTTTGGGGGGGGGAGGGGTGGGTGGGTGGGTGGGTGGGTGGGTGGGTGGGTGGGTGGGTGGGTGGGTGGGTGGGTGGGTGGGTGGGTGGGTGGGGGTGGGGGGTGGGTGGGTGGGTGGGTGGGTGGGTGGGTGGGTGGGTGGGTGGGTGGGTGGGTGGGTGGGTGGGTGGGTGGGTGGGTGGGTGGGTGGGTGGGTGGGCGCTTTCCGAAAGGTCCGGTGCCGAAGTTTTTCCGTCGCGAGGCGATCTGCTGGATTTGGCTATCTTGAACTGATGCGGGTGGCGTTGCGCAAGCGATCGCATTATGAGACCATGACATCCGCCTGCCTGGGCCGAAAAAGTCGAAACACACCACCGGAGCGCGGACTTTCCGCGCGGCGCCAAGGTGCAAAGGACCTAGGTTTGCTTTGATTGTCCGTGCACGACAAGGCATGGTGGGCGAAAGTTGGGTGTTAGTTTTAGATTACCTCCTCATTGTGACCAAACTCTTCATGTAGATCGTACTTTGGCGCTTTTATTTACTCAGCCACTTTTATTGCTTCCAAATTCTTGACATGTAATTATCTCGGAGAGCAAGGGCGAGAGGGGGCGATGCTGCCTTGTTGCTGGATCTTAAGATCAAGTTTTGAGAGCGGGCGTGACGATCCTTCCAGCGATGAGACTCATGCCTTGGAGCCTCCCGCAATAAAACCACACCTTGCCTGCATCCACCATGATGCCAACATGCCTTCCTCGCTTTTGCAGCAGTTGCACAGGTCATCCTCCAATCTTTCTTGGGAGCTCTTTTTTGGGAGCCGCATTCGTTTTTAAAGCATGGTTATCAAGAAAGCCGCAAAGGACACCAACGGCCCCCGAGACACCATGCTGCAGTCCCAACAATCATAGACATTGCAATCACACCCCAACAAACGACTCAAGCCCGAGACAGGATCTGTTTTTGTCCAAATACTAAACATATTATTAATATATATATATATATATTTCTGTCCAGAGAGTTTCTCACATCCTAAGACACGTTTTATCTTTCTTTCAGGTGCCTCCCTCCCAGCCGGCGGTTGCGCCGACGCGATCGATGACGCCATGGCGCTGTGGCAGCAGCTCCATGGCGCGGACGAGGCCTTGCGCCTGCCCGCGGCGCGGCAGCTGCCGCCCGGCGGCGTTTTTTTGGGCCATGTGATGCCAGGGGCTTGGGCCCAGAAGTCAAGAGGAGGGAACAGGAAGGAACAGGGGGTTGGGGGTTTGGGATACTTACATTGGAAAGAGGAGAGGTCTCATCTGTTTTTTTTTTTTTTTTTTTTTTTTTTTTTTTTTTTTTTTTTTTGTGGGCGATGCATGGTCCATAATGGCCCACATTTCGGAGTTGGAATGCCCAACAGGGTCTTGTTCCAGTTACAACCATGCGGAACCAGGCTTTTTTTCTGCATTTTAGGATCTCTAGGTTGCGCTTTTTGCTTCCCATCGCGTAGCAACTGGAAGCGTGGTTTGTGTACCCGGCTTGTCTTACGGACAAAAGGACACAGGGCAAATCTCGTTTTCGAGCTTTGGGTTGGTCTCCAACGTGGTTGGGACTCGTTTTGGTTCACACTCCAGTTCCACATAGAACCAACAACCCACAGCTACGTTTGGAGGAGGAATCACATTTTTTCTTTTTCGGGATCAAGCTGTTTTCTTTCAATGTTTCATTTGCAGAGGCTTGCCCGAAAAGCGAGCCGAGCCGAGGTTGGAGACAGCAGAGGCTTACCAGGTGCCGTGGCTCTTCGAGTGGCTGGCGAACGGCTACGGCAAGAATCGAGCGCTGCCGCCGGAAGGCGATGGCTTTGGCTTGGAGCCGCAGGTTTCCCTGCCACAAGCCACCTCAAAAGGGGTGGGGTGGGGTGGGGTGGGTGGGGCGGGTGGGGTGGGTGGGGTGGGGTACCCTCAATAAGAATCGCGGACCCAGATGTGGTGTTTCTCGAAAAGGATCAACTCCTCCAGGTTGGTTACCTTTTACCGTCCAAGAAGGGGTCCGATCTCCTATTTTGAGACGCACCCAGTTGAGCCGCTGGTTCCTTGAGTTTTGAGGGGTGATGTGGAAAACTCATCGCTCCTTGCAGAGGTACCCTGAGGAAGTACTCGCGGATTCATTTCTCAGGAGTTGGGATATTTGCTCGTCGGGCTCTCACTTATGTCGAGCGGTGTTACATTGGCGCAAGATGGAGCCAGGGACTGTGAAGTGGCAATGCTGCGACCAACCGGGGAGTGCTGCCGGTCTCCTGTCAACCTTGTTTCAAATGGAGTTGAAGATTGCCCAGAGCAACAAAAGACGACCGAATTTCCCGAATCCGAGGGGTGAACTCACATGCGGCAACCGTGATATTTCCTGTGGATTCTATGTGGTGAATCTGATGTGTTTCCAACAAAAACCTCCTGGTATCCATTTGGGGATTGATTAGAACGTCTCCTACCTGGGATGACCATTTAGGGAAACCACCCAACAAGATGACTTTCGCCACTACATGAGGAAAGTTGCTCATGGTCATTTTGGGGCCCCCCATTTCCTGGAACTCACCTCTGATGGGTCATTTGGGCCGCACGGAATATTGATCAATCCCCATTTCGAAACCAAAAAAGATGACTTCCGCCAAAAAAAATGAGAAAAGTGGCTCATCATTTTGGGGCCTTTAACGGAATATTGATGTCCTGCGAACTCGGCCTCGTCGTATGGGAAGCCTTGCCAGGTCTCCAGTTGCTCTGCAGCCTGCTGGATGCTTTGTCCGAGACCTATCCGCTCCAGGCTCATGCGCCTCGGAAATGGGGGACTGTCGGGTGGGAAAACCCTTAGGTGCCCCAAAATGGCCTCGGTTTTCCTTTTGGTTATTGCTCTTGGCTTCCCGTTGAAGCCACAAAAACAGGGGCACCAGCTCCAAACAAAGACGCCCTGATGGAGGATGGAATTCGATTTTGTGCGACACCGAAATAGGCAGACCCAGTGCTAAACGCCATGGAGCCTGGGAGGAAGTTGGTTGCTTGGCCCCAGAGCACATGTTGTCTTTCCTTGAAAGAGGCCAGCTGTTGTGTGTTGGATCGTTTGGTTTTCTTTGGTGAAGAGATCCCATGAGCGGGTCCAACATGACAATGTGCACATACAGAGGCGGGTCTCTTGTTGAATATTCTCTTGGCTTTTAAGGACTTTCACGCGAAATGCATGAAAACCGTGGCTGCCTTTCCCAATGTTGATAAGCACACTCACACAGTCACGCATTTTGCCATGCGGTCGATTTTCCTCGTCTACCTTCCTTGCCAGGCTAGCAAAATTGTTTTCCATCTCGGAGCCCTGAAAAACAAGATCATTGGAAGGCGTTCAAGAGCAAGAGCGGCCTACGTGAAAGTGGGATTTGTGTCTCCAATTTCCCGCCCTATTCCTTTGTTTGTTGCCGAACCATCAGCTACAGGGATGCAGAAATCAGGAACCCGCTCCCCTACAAATTATCGCCGAATCCGAAACTTGACAGTTCTCAGCTGTCCCCTTAGGTTTCTCATTTTCCGGGTATAGCGGGAGCTTCCATTTCACCCACAAACAGTTATTCCCTTTTCCTTCATCTGCAAAGGGACGGCCCAGAAACGGGTTAATCACTTCTCCATGCAAAATGGGGAAAACAAAAAACAAACTCCATCTCCGTTTCGGGTCCCCGGATCGAGTTCGGGTCGATCCTAAGGTGCCCTGGCTGATGACGCAGCTCCGGGAGCCCGACTCGGGCAAGCTGCTGGACGCTCGACTCGCCTCCATGCCTCGTCGGTAGCGCTCGACCAGAAGCAGGGTGCAGCATGTGGGTCTCGTCTTTAAGGTTGGACCCCGGCAAAAGGTCTTTTTTTGGCCTCAAAAAATGACACACCCATATGGGCTGCGAACTTTAAGAAGTTAGTTTCTTTGACATCATTTACATGGAACTTTTTGTCCGCCTAGAGGGTGGTCCTTACTCGTAGCCAAATGAGATGGGGAACTTCCCCATGAAGACAAACCCATATCGAAGGACTCGGCGGAAAACTCGGAGAAGTCCCTAAAGGATGTACGCAAGGGGGCGACAGGGTCTGCGGAATCATCTCTCCAAAAATGCCGTGACGGGGGGCACCCATACTGTTCTTTGCGTGTTTGTTTGCCTTCGGGCCCCATGCGGCTTGGACCCTGGCGATCAGGTCCGTTTCTTTCCAACGGGTAGGTTTAGCTTACATGGTTTCTACGGTGACATGTTTTAATCATGACTCACTTCCTTTGTCTGGCCTGATACTGTCACCTTTGTCGAGGTCAGGTTCCAATTGGAATATTTAAGGACAATGACCACACTTTGTGACTTTCATAACCCCCTAGAAACTGTGAATGTTTTGAAACGTGGCTTCATAAATCAAAAGGGATTGCTCTGGTTTTGAGTTGTTGGCGAAGCCTGCAGTTTTTTCTCCCTCCACCGCTTGCTTTCCGTTTCTTTTGGCAAGACACGGCTCTTGGCCACGCCTGGTCCCCCATTTGCCTTGTGCGCGGTCCCAGTTTCCCAGTGGCGCCCTGTTGCCTTTTCTTGGGAAGGGTTTGTTTCCTTTTAAAGGCAACCAGCCAAAAAAACGGATGCCGCTTCTTCTTTCTTTTTCTCCCAAAATCCACCAAGCTTTTGGTATCGGCGAGACTATGGCACTGGCCAGGAGCGCCTGCTGCGGCGGCCAGCCCTGGCCTTCCGCCCCTCGGTGGAGCAGGCGACCGAGATGACTGACCTGCCGGGGTGGGGCCGGGGTGGGGCCGGGGTGGGGCAGGGTGAAGGGGGTGGCAACATACCGATCAAAGCGTGTTCAATTTGAGGAAAGACTCGTTTGGGTATGTGTTTGGGGCCCAAGTATTTGGTTTTTCCGTTGGTTTGCCCCAAAACGGGGATTGTGACCTCCAAAACGCGGATGTTGGACTGCCCCAAAGGGGGATTTGGACTCCAAAATGGGGATTGCCAAACAAAAGGGGGATTGCCAAATCCTCTGGTGTCCTAGCAAAAAACAAACTCAAAAACAGGACTCTAAACATGATCAGACTTGGGTTCCCAAGTCTTTCTTGTCAACATCCATCCCCCAACAAAGCAAGGCTGGTTTACGGATTCACAAGCATGGGCATTGTGAGGACCACCCCAACAGGCTCGGCTTGTCCTTGTTTTTCTTGCCCGAAGCCAACCTTCCCAAGAGACCCGGAGATCTTGGCCATCGGGAGATTTCCGTTCTGTGCAGGCCATGCCCATCTTCCAGGCAGCAAAGAAGGATGGGTCGGGGCCTCGGAGCCGGCTTGGTGGCTTGGTTCTTGCCGCGCGCGAACCACTGGACCCAAAGTTCACCGATGTGTTGTGAGTTTGGTGAAGTGTTGGCAGCAGTTGGTTTTTGATTTCGGGCGCAGAGACATACACGTCGCGACTTCGAGTCGCGCGCCGGCCAGTGCTTTTGCTCAGGCTTGTTGGCCAAGAGAAGAACCGGTAGCACCTTTCGCGTGCAGCTGGAAGCGGAAGCTGCGGGGGTGCAAGCCACATGGTGTCGGCCGCGCCTCTGGCACGGTACAGAGAGCAACCAGCCAGTGATGATGGGCACTTTGGCAACACCTACTTCCGCTGGACTCTGCTGCACACGCTGATCGTCATCGCATTGTGCTCCGCACCCATTTGGATGCACTTTGCCCTCCCGAAGTATGTGGCCTATTTCAATGTCGGCGGCATGGCATTCTTCAGCTTGATGTGGCTTGCCATTGCTGGAAATGCGGCATTGAACATGTGCCGCATGACCCGGGAACCGCTCATGCCACAAGAACAGCCCCCGACTCAGGAGACTCAGGAGGCCGGTCGACGGTTTCGGCATATCGTCATTGTGCCATGTTACCTAGACCCGATCAATGTGCTGTTTGACTGCCTGGGCTCGCTTCTTTCCCAGCAGCAGCCAGAGAAATTGATCGTGGTCGTCGCGTTTGAGAAGAAGACGCCCGATGTGTTGTTGAAGATTGACACGGTCAAGAAAGCTTTTGGGGGGCGGTTTGGGGAGCTTGTGATCTCCGTGCACACCATTCTGTGGGACACGGAGATTCCAGGAGGGTGCTCCAACAAAAACTTTGCGCTGCGGACCGCTCATCACCACGTCTCCACGGATCCGCAGTACCAGGAAACTTCATACACGATCACCACATGCGACACTGACACCTTGTTCGGTCCTCGCTACTTTGAAGTTCTGGAGGAGGCATACAATCAAGAGAACCCCCTGGGCTCGGGTCGTCCAGTGAAGCTCTGTGTATGGCAGGGTCCTCTTTTCTACAACTGGAACTTGGACCAGCGTCCGTTCTTCAATCGCATCACAGGCATCATGCGTTCCTTGATGATGCTAGGTGGCCTGATTTCGTTCAACTTGAACCCGATGTCGGTCTTCTCCTACCCATTGGAGCTGGGCTTGGAGGCAGGATTCATCAATCCGCGCTACAGCGTGGACGACATCATCTTCCTGGTCCGCGTGATGTGCAGCGCTCGGAGTGGCATTCCAGTGAAGCTCTTGCGGGTACCAGTGATTTCGGGTCCCACGATTGGCACAACCTGGTGGGAGGAGGTGGATGAGTGGGCGCGCCAAATCCGGCGGTGGATCATCGGATCCTCCGAGAGCTTCCACTATTTCCTCACACACTACCGAGGGCGGCCATTCTTTGCAGGCCTCAAGTGGTTCACGATGTTCTTCGTGTACTACGCGGTGCTGCTTTGCTGCGCAGGCCTATTCACAGCAGCGGCAGCGGTTCCGCTTGCTGGGGCAGTGCTCCCCCGTCCAGAGTTTCAATATGCTGGAATAGCAGCGCTTGCGCTCCAGTACTGCGTTTTTGCAGTTGCTTTTATCATCGATCGCTGTGCCATCCGCCACATGACTGTGAAGGAGGATGTCAGCTGTCTTCGCAACTTCATCCATTGGCTTGTGGCTCCTGTGGTTCTGCTTGTCTACAGCGTCATCGCCTTCTACGCAGTTGTGAAGTTTGCCTTTCGGGGCAAAAAAGATGCAGGGCACGTCATGGCGGCGAAGGCAGGGTTCCAGGCTGTCACAGCAGTCATCTCCGAAGGACTCTCGGCCGAGCAAGCGATAGTCAGCGGCTCTGCAGCCGAGGAAAGCTTTCACAGCCAATGTGCGCAAGAAGGACGCCAAAACCCCTTGGACAGGCGATGTGCCGGCCTGACCACCTGCACAGCCCTGAACTCCGGGACAAGGACTTTCCATAACAGCACTGCTAGCGGACTGTCCTTCGAACTCAACCCCCGAGCAATGTCCTTTCCCCTCCAGAGCCTGCGCGCAAATGAAATCGAGGTTCCGCCGACGATCGCCAAAGGCGACGATACCAACGGCGATGCGGAGGACAAGGTGTTGTGCCACTTGCCGGATTGTTTTTATTTTGGCAGCATGGCATTCCCAACAGGACGTGGCAATGCCGCGCTTGAAAATGCCTTGCCTGTGCGCACGTTCCAGTATGGCTTGTAAAGATATCCGTGGATGTGGCCTTCTTAGGTGTGTGTATTGAATGTATTGCAACTCGCATGCTCCAGATTTACCTATAGGGTGCCCGCTTGACACTTGCAAAACCAAATCCACACACCACGTGTAGACAGCGCAGACGACTCGGCGGGTTTGCTTGGACTTCGCCGAGCTTCTGCAACAGTGCAGGAGGCCCGGAAGCTGGTGTTCTGAGCTTCTCATCGGTTTGCGAGCTTCCCATCGGTTTGCGACAGAAAGAACTGAAGCTGGGAGCACTGCATGCAAACCCTGCCTACAGGGTTTGGGAGGACTAAAATGGCTCTGGTGCAATACGTTTCTTATCCCCATTTTTTACTTTTGCGGGATTCGAAGGCTGTATGGGTACTCGACAGAATGAGGGTCCTCTATAGCCCCCTTAACAATAAGGTTACTAACTACAAGATGGAAATAGCCCCTATGGTCCTCGAAGGAGATCAACCTTGACCAATTCCCCAAACCTGTACCCTAAGCTTGAGATTTTCTAAACTGTACTGTGGATGGACGAAATCCAATTTGCACCACGTTAAAAATCTCCTGGACTAATGATTCCCGTGTAAATACCAACAAACAATAGTTTCCTATGGTTTCATAGTGGTGCGAAATGGATTTCGCAACCACCCACAGTATCATCTCAAGAGCTTTGAGATCAAGAGAAAAACTACAAGGACAACTTGGCTTGATGGACGACTTTTCGGCACCCGACACGCAGACCTGAGGCCAGGATCAGAACAGAAGGTGCCAACCAGTTCCAGCAGTGGCAGGGGGTTCCGCTAGGAATCGAATGCATCATCATCTTTTTTAGTGTTTTATGGATGCTCCTGGCCTCTCAACTTTTTAAAACGAAGCACTTCCAAAGATTATTCTGCCACCAGCCAACATGGAAGTGCACAGACCCCTGTAGAAAGACTACTTTCCTCTTGGAAAGGGCCTTTTCGCCCTTCCATGATAGTTGGTGGGGGGGTAGTCTTTCAAAACGATTCACGTCCAAAGATCAGATATTTAACCATCATCACCAGACACAAAAATATTCGCATTTTTTCCAACCGATTTTGCCAACGATTGACTGAATTCTCCCAAGGTCAGGGCGACGAGTTGGTTGATTTCAAAAGAATTCGCTTCCCCCGAGGCTGGATCCTAGTGCCCAGCTACTGCTGCGCGCGCTGGAGGCCGCAGCGCCCAAGAAGGCCGGGAGGGGAAGGGGCGGGGGGGGGGGGGCTTCTCAGCTCTCTTTTTTTGGTGTTTGTTTTGTTTTTGTTTTAAGTATTGAAAGAAAACCAATGTGTGTCTGTTTTCTCTTCCACTTTTTGTTTTAGTGCGTTCAGTCTTTTTTGGTTTAGCATTCTTTTGGTACTTTTTTTGATCTACTCACATGCTCAACGTGTGTCATAATCAACCATGGCACGCTGTGCATAGCTGAAAGCAAAGGAAAGGCAAATTGTCAAGAAGGGGTTCTGCTGAGCTGAGTGACTCCTCAGCAGCTGAGCAGAATGACTCCAGGAAGGGGATGACATTGGTATGTGTTTTCTCTTTTTTTTCCTTTTCTTTTTCTCTTTCCTTTTTTTTCAAATCTTCATTTGTTTCGTTCTTTTTTCAGTTTTCTCTTTTGTTTCCCCTCCTTTTCTGAATGAACAAGTAGAGTTTGTTTTTCTATGTTTTTATTACTTTTGTTTTTTAATCATTTTGTCTCAAGTTTGTTTCTTCCTTTTTTCTTTGGTCTTTTTAGTTTTTGTTTTGCTCTTCTTCTTTTTTTGGCGGGGGTTGACATGATGGCTTGCCAACCTTTTCTTATTGGGGTGGGACTCCAGGGGCGTTGGTGTGGGTTTCCACGCATGGCTGTAACCAAGCTAGGACGAAGTCAGAGTGGGCATGCCTGAAGACGGGTGGTCCAAGTGCACTTGGGTTGCTTTGGTTTCTTCCTCTTTTGTAAATGGGGGGATTGACATGATGGCTTGAAGTGCGCTTGGGTTGCTTTGCTTTTGCAAGACCTTTTGCAAGAGCTTTGACAAGCACATGACAAAGGAGGGCGGCCGTCCCGAGGCGTTTCGGGCTGTTCTGGATGCGCTGCCGGTGGCTGCAGGAGACGTGCCGGCCGGCCCTGTTTTCGCCTTCCTTGTGACGTGTGAAATCTATGCCAATGAAAACCGTCAGTGCCATATTCCCTGCCAAGACAAAGGTGAAGGTGATAGAAATCAGGGATCAAGAAAGACAGAGTTTTTTTCTTTTTCGGAGCCGGGATTCACAGCTTCAGGTCTTAACGTTTCAGGGAGGACAAGAGGGCCACTCTTTTGAAACTCCGGACAATCAGAAAGTGCTTGATCAATGCAGGAAGGGAGGCTTCATAGTTGTGTATCCTTCCCCCATAGTTGTTTTCATCTCTGAAAAAACTGCTCCCAACCGTGATGCGGGGTCTCCACAATTTTTTGACATTCCGAGGGCATCATGCTTCCGAGGTATTTAACCAGGTATTTGTGACATCAACCACTGTGCTGTTCCTACCTAGAACATATTTTGCAGCTACCTTCCACAACTTTGTGGGAACCCCCAAAATGCTGGCTTTTCTTTATGTTTGCTTTGACAACCAAAAGAGGGTTCCCCCAAGAAAAGACCGACCGAGCTGTGTTTGTTTTCAGGCTCCCCTCCCCAACATGGGACCCGGCCGCTGGGGAGGAGCTTTGCGCTCCGCAAACCTCGAGGAGTTGGGGAGATGGGTTTGTCGAAACGCGTGGCAAGTAGACGTGCTCAAACTTGCTGGTGCTCAGCAGGGAAGGAGGGAATGCCCCTTATAAACCATCCCTTGTGGTTTTTGTAAGGGGACTCCTAGTTCATTCCCAGATTTCCTACTGAGAGGAACAGTGCACCTGTGTTATTTCTATATCTCCTCTACTGGAAACCGTTGTTTCAAGTTCGTCGCAAGAAGTTGATTGCAAGACCTATGCCAGTCTTAGCATGTCTTTTGCTTTGTCTTCCCTTTCAAACGACCCCAACATGGGGGTGCCCAGGAAAAAATCAAAAAAAATCAAAGATACAGCCATATCTCCATATCTCCCCCCCTTTCCCTTTTACGTATGGAACCCAATTCACCCAAGCCACCCTTGGGTGTCCATGATTATTTGTTTCTCCCCTTTTTTGCTGGTGCAGCGGGCAAGAAGGGCATTGCAGCGATCTGGGCTTCCAGCCACCTTCTTGCATGAGCTTCTATCCTGATGAGATGAAGAGTCTCACCCAACACCTGTCCTGGGCACCCGCGATTTTTGTTTGATGTTGGTTTTATCCCACGCACTAAGTCTGTTGGCGTTTGCATCCCTTGAAGGGTCTTGGTCAGATTCGCTGGGGAGTCTCCAAATGCCATCTGTCAAGGGAACGATTACGATTTGGGGCGTTGCTTTTCTCGTGGTTTTCCTTGACTCCAACCCCAAACTGGGCCTGAAAAAAAGGGGCACGCCCGTTCTCAAGCTAATGTGGAGGGTCGTTTTCACGAATTTCGACAGATCTCGGGATTGCTGGGCCGGCCTAAAACACAAAACAGGATGGCAAAGGCTGAGCCAGGGACACAAAGAGGAAGGGAGTCGGATGGATTTGGCCTTTTCGGGGTGTGCAGGACATCCAAAGCAAAAGGCTCTCCCCCAAAATACCGAAACAAGTGCTCGCCTAAAAAAAGGGGAGCTCAGCCAAAAGCAAGTTTCCAGACTGCAGCATGGTCCAAGGTGAGCTACTGTCATTTTCCAGAGACGCGGAGCTACTTAAGCAACCCAAGAATCAGGCAACCAAAGCCAAGCCAATCCAACCAATCTCAGTGGAGCCCAGTTGCCAGCATAGGCTTTTTTATTATTATTACGTTGGTTGTTAAAGTGTTTGTTTTTGGCTTGCCTGCTATCAGGTCACCCTTCATTGGTGGTTTGGATTGGTGGGCTTTGAACTCCTAGTTCCTGAGGGTAAAGCGGGGTTTACCCCTTAACCACCAAACCACTGGGCTCCAAACCACCAATGGGAGGGAAGCATAGTAACAAATTTTTCCCGTTGGTTGTTAAAGGGCGGTCTGAATGAGAGATGGAATTCTGAAGCTCTGTACCCCTATGTTCAAAGGGCGGTGGTTTTGGTTGCCTGCTTCCAGGTTCATGGCTCTGGGAGCAAGTTGCTCCGGTCCGAGGAGCTGCCGGGGCTTCGAGGCCTCATAGCCGCCTTGGTGCGGCCCCAGCAGCTGCCCGGCTTTGAGGCGCGCATTGGCTCGGGTGGCTTGCGTTGGAATGTGGTTTTGTTAGGGAAGCCTAGGCCAGAAACCGCCTAAAATACCAGGGGGGGGAAAGGGGCAAGGTTTTTCGGGGAGCCGGAGCATGGCTTCGGTGGCTGGCTAAGGTTAATATATATATATACACATACGTAGATATGTATACATGTTTGGATACACATGGAATGCACCTACGTATCATGTTTTTCTGGCGTCAAGAAGGAATCATTTGGGTTTGTCTCTAAACTGTTCTGAATCTTCAGAATGGGTGGTTTCCGGGTGGTTTCCCTTTCAAGCAGCATCGGTGGACTTTGGAAGTGGTTTCCTTTCAACAACCCCAACCAGTTTTCCCTCAGAAAAGCACAGGGCTTAGACATATTGGAACCACCTAAATGGCCAGCTTTCAGGGGTGAGCAAGCAAGCCTTAGGGTGCAATTTTTGCCCCACACCAAAAGGGAGGCTTTGAAGCACCTGCCAGTTGGTGCTACAATTCCAGCCTGTTCAATTGGGGAAAGCCGAGCAGGAACATAACTGGGGATGCAGGATTGCTATCTATCTACTGCCGGCTTTCTTTCAGAGTGTGTGGGTGTGCCGTTTCGCAGGCGCAAGACACACGCAGCCGACAGGAAAACTACCAGGCAGGAGCAGGATTTCGGCGAACTTGCCGCCCTTTGGGCGGATCTATCAATTGCCTCGCGTCAGCCTGGAGTCTTTATGACCCACAAATGGGACCGTCCTGCAGGGTGTCCAAGAAGTCATGACTCTTAGGTTTTGGGTAAATGATCCCATTTTTGAAGGGCCATGGAGACTCCAGGAACCCTTATTCAGTTTCGTGCTTTCGGACTTCCAATTTCCCCGGACTTCAAGGAGACCCTGAAACAACTCCGGAGGGTGTTCATGGAAAATTGGTTGGGTGGGTTGGGTGGGTCTCTGGTTTTGCTTCGGTTCCCTTCGGCTCAGTTCCGCTGGCCTCCGGCTCGGTTCCGGTTGGGATCTCTGCGCGAGGCGCAGCTCTTCCCCTGCCTGACAAAGATGATGGCGGAGGACACACGCCATTCTTTCTTTTTTTTGCTTCCGGCAGAAGTTGGGCGAGCGGTGCCGAGCGTTTTTTTTTTTTTTTTTGTCAGATACAGAACGCATTTGTTCTTGGCAAAGGCTGAGCGGTGGGTTTTTAGAGTCTGGTTCTGCTCGCGGGAGTGTTCTGTTTAGATGAGCTTGGTCATTGAAATAAATGGGTTCCGAGGGTTGCATTTTTTTGGTTTTATGCCGTCCATTTTGTTGGCCAGTTTAGTTCTTCCAGGGTTGAGAGGTTGGTGTTTTGTTTTATCTTGGGATGAACTTGCAACCCAGGACACGTTGCCGTCCGGCCCTTTCTTTACCCATTGCCATTGGGGCGTTTTCAATCTTGAGCTGATTGGTTGATTGGTTGATTGGTTGACTCAAGTGTCCTTTCTTGAGGGTCCAGACCTTTCAGTCTTGTGAATTCTGGTGGAAGGGTCGGTGACATGGTACTCATGGCTGTACTATTTCCTGCAAATTAGACTCATTCTCTTGTGATGGCTTAGTTTGGCTGTGTAGACCCCTGCCTCACCCCAAGAGACCAACAGTAGAAGCATCTTGCTTGCGATTTGGGTAGGTGTCCAAAACAGGTTGATTGTTAGAATGCTGACTTTCCTTTTGGTTTCCCTTGGCCCCGACCTTAGGGCCACCACCCTTGCGAGGAAGCGGCGGGCTGCAGCCGCCTGCTGCCGGGGCTTTTCGAGGCTGGCGCTGGCTTGGCCGCGCGAGGAAGCGGCGCTCCAGGGGGGTGATGCATGTTGGATTTTAGGAGACCCCCCAGAATGGCGTCTTTCCCATTGGTTTCCTTTGAACCGACCCAAGAGGGGGCACCCTCAACAAGAGGTTATTGAAGTGGGCTTTGATGGGCGATTTTTTTGGATAAGACTTGGGTTCAAGCCTTCTGTTGGATGGTTCAGACAAGGAATACCTCAAAAACAAGCCTTTCGGATGATGCAACAACTCCTTTTGCCAAATTGCTCTTGTTGCATCCCAAAATCTTGAAACGGCATCCTTTTGATTTCCGGAGAAAAACAAAGCAAAAACAGTTTCTGGTCATTTTGGGCTTTCAAGTTTTGGTGGCAAATCGTGACCTAAAGGGATTTCGGTTGCAAGCTCCCTAATAAGTTTGGGTTAGCCAATCATTCCAATTCCCGACTATTTGAGTGGCTGGCTTGCGACCAGCTAGCCGGGCTATGTTAGCACAAAGCAAGGTTTTCAGGCACCAGCCAAAGCGATGTCCGGATGCTTCCTCCTTTTTTGGTTGGGGTTCCCTATCCAACCAATAAGGAATTGGACGCACGTTTGTTGTTTTATCAATCTCCTGTATTGCTTGCTCAGCAGATGCGCAGCCATTTTGTGTTATCTTTTTTTACAGACAAACCTGAGCCACTCCATTTTTCCATTTCCAAACGTGACCACGTTTGGCCTTCTCTCAATGGAGCCACTCCATCTGGGATTTTTTTGAGCCAGAGGAACTTTGGGGCGCGAGCTTTAGCTCGGGAGGCCTTTGCGAAGGCCTTCGCGCGGAGTCGTGCGGAGGCGGGGGATGGGGGAGGATGGGAGGGCGGGTTCAAAGCGATGGGCGGCTCGTTTGGAGGGAACCCATTTGAGGGAACCCGTTTGGGAACCCGTTTGGAGGGTGCCCGTGGATGGGTTCAAATTTTGGAGGGAACCCGTTTGCGGGGTTGGTTTGAAGAGAAAACGAAAAGAACAAAACACATTTTGCGGGGTCCCCGAAAAGAAGAAGAGACAGATTCAGAGAGGCGCCTTTTGGGGAGCTTTTGGGGGTAGCTCACCCGGCTCGAGGAGCAGGCCCGGCAGGAGAGGCAGAAGAAGGAGCGGGGGCCAACGACGCCCCCGGAGTTCCAGATTTTTGCGCAGCCCCTTGGCGAAGAAAGAGACGTCAAGATGGGTGGACAGACATTTGCAAGTTTTTTCCCAAGGTTTTCCTGATTTTCCACCGTTTGTGAGTGGAACCGTTGCGTTTTTATCTTGGCCAGCAAGTTCGAGAAGGATCTAGCAGGCCTCGCTGGTTCGAGTTCCATGTCCTATTTCGTCGGGGCACCAACTATGTGTCACTTGACCCAAAATGCTTGGATTCAACAAATTGACCCGGGCCTGCTTTCTCACGCGTGTGTACCCTTTGAAGGGAAGCCAGAAGGCAAGCTGAGGCAATTGTTTGGGGTCTCCCTAAATATGGGTCTGTCTCCAAATAGGGGACCCCTTTTAGTTTCCAGCCTTTGGTCCGTTTGGGATTGACATGGCGGGACTCACGCAGTTTCAACCACAAAATCCAGGGCAGGAGCCCTATTTTCCCCCATTGTGTCAAACTATTTTTGCTTTTACGTCATCTACAGCTAAAAAGGGGACATGGGTGCGCCAGAACTCCAAGTGTGAAATGGGTTCACCCATGTTCACCTTTTTCGTTCTCAACCACCAATCCAAACCTTCAACTTAGGGAAGCTGACGGTTGGATCCTCCAAGGAACCCAACCAACGCCGGGCCCCGCTTGTTGTGGCGCCGTCGCGGCCTCGCGGAAGCTGAGGCTCTGGAAGATGCTGAAGCCGCGGCTGGGCGCGCCGGAGATGGAGTGCCTGCTGCAGCTCTGGCGCACCGTGCGCCGCAGCTCGGATCGCAGAGGAGAAGTTTTTTCGTTGGGTTCCATGGGCGTGTGGGTGGAATTCCGGCTGGGTGTAATTGCGTGCCTGAGCTTGAACTATATTTCATACTTCTATATTTTCGAACGAGGCTGTACAATCCTGCTTGAAAGCTCTGTAAATTTGGCTATGAACCAATGTACCAAATGATTGCCGGTGCTTTTAGCCACTTCCCAAACCGGTGCCGGTGCCGCTCATACTGTGGGTGGACAAACTCCTGCACCACTTTGAAACTATGGGAAACCATTAGTTTGTTGCTATTTGTGGGGAAATCGAATCCTTCCAGGGTTTCTTGTCGTCCATCAGCCGAGGCTACGGCCTCTACCGGCCGCGGGAGGACCCGGCGGGGCTGCAGGGCAAGACGCTGGGCGGGTGCTGCTCGGCGCTGCTGAGCTTCGGACGAAGCTGCGGGAGGGCGGGGGGATCGGGGGGATCTTCGGGGTAGACACCGATGGAATCGATTGGCCCCGTTTTCGGTGTTCCGTCTTTGTTCATGCGACTGTGATTGACCTTTCTATTCCTAAAGGTTGGGCGAATGCACCCATTTTAGAACCGATTTTAGTGGTTGGATTGAGTCGGATGTTCACTGGGGGTACGAGATTTTGACCCATGGCTGGAATGGAATCGGCCTTGGAGATGAGAGCTCTGGCAGTGTGAGTTGGAGATTGAGGTCCAACTTTTGCACATTTTGGATGACAACGGCAGACTCCAGCTGGGCCTTTGATCTTCAGTTTGGTTTGTACATCTGGCGCCTCGCGCCTCCCGCGCCTCGCGCGAGTCTTGCCGAGGAAGCGGCTGGAGGGCGGCGGGGAGCTGCAAGCGGGGGCTCCGGAGTTCGCCTGCCTCCAGGACTTGCCGAGGGGGGGGGATTTTCGGGGTTTCGACTGCATGGAGCTCAAGAATCTCATGATTGGTAGAAGGAATTTTGTTTTCCATGAAACGTGGCCCACTGGGGCAGCATCCTCGCAGGTCGTGTCAGATGGTACTTTCCGACTTAAGGATGGACGGCTCTTTCAGGTTTGCGTTCTAGACCCTGAAAAATGACTCGGGGCGCCCTATGGGTCAAAGATTTGTCCAATTTTGGTTAGTTCTGACCAAGGGTGTAAATGAGTAGAATGTGTGGGGTACCAATCAATCAAATTGCCTCATGATCATGGGGGAACAATTATCTGCCCCTTATATTACATGGAAGCGAAGCTGGCCCTATTTCCGGGGGAGCAGATGTTTTTGGGCAACACTCACCCAAACCCAACATGTTCTCCCAGATCTAGGCCACCGGCACGAGCCTCAGACACTTGCTTCGCACAGCTCGGGCACGCTTCAAGAAATGAACTCAACTCCAAGCTTTACGAACAGCCGCACGGGGGCCAGTTTCTGCTGCCCAGCTAACAGTTCGGTGAGTATCCTCTTACTACAACAAAATGGACGATTGCTACTGCCCGGCACTCATAGCAAGAGATCGTAAGCTTCATACTGCTCCGGGCTGCTGGCCGGCCGCTTCGTCTAGCAAGAAGCTGGTACACGGCCTTGCTTGTTAGTTCGTGGACCATTCCGAGGACGTTGGAATTCATTTTGCAGCACAACTGGCAAGCATGTAGTCATCTTATGCTGCTTCAAAGACAGGATCTTTCCCGCTAACAGGAACTGAACCAGCCATTTGGAACTGTCCCTCCTTTCCACACATTTCTCCATGGTTGTTCTCCAAAAACAAGGTGTGTCTTGAGAAATTGGGGACCCCCATCCAAAAAGGGTGCTTTGCTTTGGTGGTTTGTCTTTGAAACAAGCCAGAAGGGCATAATGGCCATTTATAAGCCCTATACAGGTATGTAGGCGTGTCTTTTGTTGAAGGCATCTTTTTTTGGAGTGGCTTTAAAGGAACACCGAGGCCCATTTTTTTGGGGGGGTCCCTAACAAAGACACCCCCTATTGTCAACTAGGGCCAGCCTCCCTGACCAATCAGGAGCTCCTGGCGCTGGACGTCGCTCCCTTCGAAGCCAGGCGATGGGCGGAACCACCGGCGCCCCGCCGGCTTCGGTACGCTCGGGTGCGCGATTCGCCAAGTTGGCAAGCGGTTGGTCACCTAGGTACACTCAAGGACTCCAACAGCCAACTTAGTTCGAGGTGCCCCTTTTTTGGGAAGAACCGGGCACACTTATCTGAAGTTTCAATGACTTTTTGCACTAGATGGTAAATGGAAGGTAAGGAATAAAGAGATGGGAAAAGAGGACATGAATAGAGGATTAACCCTGAGAATTGGTTAGGAAGGGTTAACCTCTATTTGCCTATCTCTTTTCTCTCCCTTTCTCTCACTCATGTCGTTCCACTTCCCAAGAGCTCGCGATAGGGATAGACATGGCACCTTTCCTTTCGCTCTCAGGGATTGTGGGAGCTCTTCACCGCTTCATTCCGTCTCTCCTCACTTTGTTCGTCTCGCACTCGCGGTTCATCTTGAGTGTTGGAAGGAATAATATAAAATAGTTGGTTTTTTGTTGTGAAAGAATCCTAAGGAAGACTTCTAAGTACGATACCAAATATAAAAGCTATCTTTCTATCATCATATTTTTATTATTGGCTTTATGATTTTCCCGGAGATAGAAAGGGATGAATAGATGATGAAGAAGACAGTGAATAGAGACGGCTTTTATCTTATTTTCAATGATCTGGATCTTAGAATAAAGGGACACATGTAAAGAGACAACTAAATTAAAAGTCCAAAAGATACAAACTGTTTCTCCATTCATATTATTACTGTAATCTTCATAATCTAATAATCCAGAAATGTAAGGACTAATATACAAAGTTACTTCCTAGAGATACAAAAGGAACATCTCTATATCTCTTCCAACAATCAATACATATTGAATGGGTGATTATATTTGAAAATTCATATTGAACAGATCCTACATGTTGTATTTCTTTCATCTTATTTTTATTAATATTCCAGATTTCTTTGTAATGGTTACCTTTCTATTTCCTTTTCATTTTGGTAATCATATAATCCTAACATTTCTATACCTAAGACTCAATAATAATAGATTTATAATGGAAAAGAGATAACCCGCTATCACTTCTAAGGTCTATCATTATGGATTATATTTGAGAATTAATATGAAACAAATAGTGTATTTCTTTCCACAATTCCCAACCTTTTAATGATTACCAATCTGTATCTTAGGCAAGTTCTTATTAAGAGTAACGACTCATACACTTAGAATGCACATATTTTATGAATCTATTATTTACATTTCTTTCTCTTATATAGACGGATTAACTGTTGACAGAGAACATGAAAGATGAGAATAATCTGGAATTCCTTTCACCATCATTTCTCTCGTCAATATTTCCTCGTTCATAATGCTTCTCTTTATATTATTATTATTATTTTATTTGGCTGTTTGATGATGGGAAATCTCTGATCCTAAGGTGAAACCTCTATCTGTAGCTAAGATAAAGATGTTGAACCAAAATAAACTGTAATTACACTATGTCCTTTTCATATTGAAGTAGCTGTAAGAACTTTATGTGTTCATCTTTATTTTCATATCCTTACAATCTAGAAATGGACAAGATATTATGTAAGAATACATCCTATAGACACAAAATCAAATAATGTTTCCATCTTGACCACAGGGAAGAAAGGAAAGGACAAGGATATGTGGTCATGATGTCCCTAAGAAGTTACCTTTTCTTTTCTCTTTGTATCATCTATTTTCATAATCTCAGGAACGAAGAGAGTGAGAGAAGGAAAGTCACATGTCATTCCATTCCTGTTCCTTTTGTATATTGGATGGGTCTTTCCGGAGATACAAAGTGACGAGGAAAGAGACAGACAGGAGAAAGGAAAAGGAATAGGAATGGAGGCAGCTTCTTGCTCTTCTATATGCTGCCACCATTATATTTCTATTCCTAATCCCTTCCTATCTCCTTACCTCCTCCTGCATTCATAAATTCATTTTGGAGTGAGGAGGAGAAGAGGTAAGGAATAGGCCATCTCTTTCTTCCTCCTTTCCTTTTAATCCTCCATCATCTCCCTTTAGTCGCTTTCCTGTCGTCTTAATCTCTGAAGCACATCCGTCCAACAATAAATCTCAGGGTCTTTAACCGCTACAAGAGGATTTTCTTGGATGGTGAGATAAAGGAAATGAATGCGACATTTGGAGTCTCATTCCTCACCATCCTGTCCTTTCCCTCTTCATCCTCGATCACAGAGACGAGGGAAGAGGAAGGAAAGGACAAGAAGAGGAGGCATGTTATCTCTTCCACATGCCACCTCCCTTCGTTATCTCTCTATCTTTTTCCTTTATTCTTTGTTAATGTTGAAACGCATGTGGAAACATGAACTGTGTGTGGAATGCTTGACCACAATGGCATGTGCCATTTTGGCTCAAGCATTGTTCTGGGTTCCTGGAACCCAAGCTGATTGAAACACTTTGATCTTTCGCATTTTCGAACTTAACCCCGACCAAGCAATGGCTTCCTCGGCAACCTCGGCAACTTCCTTTGAGTTGATTGAGGACCAGACACTCACCGTGGAGGAGGTTGAAATGGCCAGCCAGGAGGCCCAGGACATTCGCACACGGGAGGCGGCAGTGGCGGCTGGCTTGGTTTTGGACGAGCCCGAGGCCCCCCCGTCAGCTTCGGCGACCGATGTGATGAAGGACCTCTCCAGTGCACTGGAGCGTCTCCGAGTGGCATTTTCCACACCGACTCCCGGCTTGGGTGCCCCTGGCCCCGCCGAGGAGGGCGACCAGGACATGGGGGATGCGGACGGCACGGAGCGGGCCACACCACCGGAGGAGGCGCAGACGCCACCCACGAAGAGACTGAAGGGCTTCGTGGCAGCTTCTCAGAAGGCTACGTCTCAGACCAACAAACCTGTCACCTTGGTGCCGGTGGACGGAAAGCCCGGGTACTTCAAGCTGGTGGACCTCCCAGACCTGTTCCCAGTCCTTCCAGCGTCGGCGGCCACCTTGCTGAGAGACATCACGATGGAGGAGGCGGTCTCCCTGTTTCACAAGTTTGTTGGGAAGAACCTCACGGAGGACCTGGTGATCCGCATCTTGGAGGCGTACGTCCCGATGAAGATCCAGCTCCGCCAGGAGGAGGTCTGGGCTTCGCAGTTCCAGAGGAACAAGGCGTGCATCGGCGCCCAGCGCATGCACAGGCTCGACGCAGGTCATTCCGACTACAAGTTCATGTGCAAGGCATGCGGAACGGGGTGGCCAGCGGCAGCTAAGCAGTGCTGGGTCTGCCCCGGCAAGGAGTTCGCCCCCTTCCAGGCACCCTCGGCCACCTATGAGGCGGACGGCATCACCTACAACCTGCTCATTCTGGAGGGCAAGCCGACCTGGATCCAGCAGCGGGAATGGGGAAGCCTGGGTGCCGTTGGCCCCGGTGGTACCCGGGCACAGGCCGACCGCAACTTGGTTCACGGCACGGTCTTGGGGAGAGCCCCTCCCAAAACGGACTCGGCGGATGAGATCACCATGGTAGATGCGGTCCCGCTTAACAGGCGGGTGGACATCCGGCAGGAGATCCTGTCCATGGAGGCGGACGACGAGGCGTTGAAGGCCCGGTAAAGCCAGGAGACCAAGGTCAAAGTGCAGCGGTCCCTGAAGGAGGCGGAGGCTCAGAGCTTCGAGCTCTGCCATCCCCAGGTGGACCAGGCGATCAGGAAGAAGGAGGAGCTGCATAAGGCCTTGCGGGAGCATCGGGAACCGACTCCGGAGGAGGCCTTGGCCAGGCGGAGATGCTGGACAACGAGATGGCGAGCGCCCCTCCAGGAGGGCATGCAGGCCCTGCCGTCAGATGAGGTGGCCAATGAGGGAGCCCGTGCCCTCAGGAAGGTTAACCTGGAGCGTTTCAAGGCCAAGCTGAGAGATCAGTACTGGCGATGGGCTCCATTCAGGAGGCTCAGGCGGCAAACAAGCAAACCCAGGACACCAACCAGGCATGGATGCTCAATCACACTCTCAAGCCCTTGGAAGTGTCGGCGTGGCCGGATGATCTCAGGAAGGCCCTGGAGAGGGGCCTATTCTGCCCCCTGGAGCTGGATGACCCCGACGACATCCCCCGGTGGGGGACATCAAGGAGAAGTATGTCCCCTACATCAAGATGCTCAGAGCGTCGCAGAACCCGTGGCACCAGGAGGCACTGCTGGAGGAGATGCCCGAGCTGGAGGCACCGGCCCCCCCAAGGGTGCCACCGGTCCCGGGGGGGACATGCAAGACCTGGACTCTGAGGAAGGTTATCCTCTGGGCAATGAAGCGGCACCAGGGAGAGCTCCGGATGTTTGGGGGGGTTTGGAAGAAGCACGCAAGCGGTGAGATCCCCCGGGGCGCTGACCAGCAGTTCAAGCTCGCGCCGGAGGAGATCCTGGCCCTTGAGCGCAGGACTCACCCATTCACGTGCGAGCAGGACCACATCGACCCAGTCATCTACACGGCCTTGGAGATCCGAGCTGAACCGGGGCGAGCGCCCGGCACCGGAGCAGGTGGTTGGTATCTTCTGATGGGGTGTTTTGGACAGGCAGACGAGAACGTGGGACCTGCCGAGCCTGACGGGAGTGTACGCCCACAGGTTCACGTTTAAGTATATTTACTCGGCCTGGACCACTTTCCCGTTGGTTGTGAAGACGCAACGCCGGGGCCGCAATGCGGAGGGCTCGGCCTCGGACAAGTGGATGAGCAACATCCTCCAGATGAGGAAGGAGGCGGTGCCCTTCCTGGAGAGCCTGGGCATCCCCAAGCCTCGCAGCAAGGAGGAGTGGAGTTGCATCTTTAAGGAGATGGGGACATTCCTGGCGGCCAAGAATTTTATCGTGAACTGCCCGTTGCCCGTTATGGAGATGCCAGTGGCCCCCATCCATGACAGTAAGGAGGCGCTGCGGTTCAGGGCAGTTTGCGATGAACGGATCACCCTCCCGCTGGCCTCGCTGAAGGCCTTCGACTCGGTCTACACTAAGTTGGTGGCGGGCCTGAGCAAGTCGTCGATGGTGG